AAACCAGGAACCACCGCGTACCTGTTACATGTATGGTGTGAAACAAAACAAAACAAAAAACACATCATCAAGAAGAGTAAAAGAATAGAAGTCCCTAACCTACCTATATAACTAAATTACCTTATGCCCTAGCCTACCTATATAATAAATTACTTTTAAATCTCACCTACCTATGTTTTATTAACTTAACTCAAGACTCATGAAGAAAGAGAAAAAGGAGTAAAACAGAACATAAAATACTACCACACAAACAAACATGATGTATGTATGTATGTATGAGCAACCGCTAAAGAATCCACCTAAAGTATAAAAAAATACAGCATACAAACCCCAGACATGCAAACTCTATATAACTCTATATAACTCTAAATAATAAAATAAATAAAAATAAATAATTTAAAAAAAAAATAAATGAGATCAGACAGACTGCTTCAAGCGAGGCAGAATGCCTGATCTGATTTTCATGTTGTCTCAGCTCCTATTTATACTCGTTTCAACCATACATTTGCATCATTTCAATCATTCACATCAATAAAAAATTTATTTAATGTATGTACTACACTATTATAGTCTTAACCACAATGCTAACCGTACTAAATTGACGTCATCGAACGAACGCCTTCGAATCTTTCTGATTGGCTGGTTGAATCTACTATATTGCTTTTTATATAAACATTATCTTATTAATTATTTGTATGCATGGATTATAGTTACTATATATATAAATATATATATAAATATATATATATATTTATATGTATATATCTATATATATATATATAATATAAATTCATTATAAAAGGAACAGTAATCAGTGCTATAGGATATGTAGGCACTCGGTTCAAATTTTTCTGGGACCACACCTTGCTTAACATCCAATTCCAAGCCAAGCCAAGCCGAGCCAAGCCAAGCTGAGCCAATATGAGTAGATTTATAAGCGCTTTCATATTAAAATTTTGCTCGCTTTATATATTATATATATATATATATATTATTACTATTATATATGCTCGCAATATAACAAATTCTCCATCCTATTTTAAAAATTTTCTTTGATGCTTTTTAATCAGTCAGGCACAAAAATCATTATCGATATCGCGATGAAATTAAATTGAATTTTTTTAAATTGTTAATAAAAGTAACTAATAGCCTATATTGTAAAAAGTTTAAATTTTTCTGAAAGAATTCAAAATAATTTGAGACTACACCATAACCCAATTGTACAATTTGAATGTGTAAATACAACATTTAAATGTATTATAACTACGTATATATATATATATTTATTTTTTTATTTTATTTTATTTTCAATAAGGGAACCAAATAAGTTTAAATGAAAAAACTTGTGGAGAGGCCACCCTAAGTACTTTACATGAGATATATATGCAATTTAAACCAGAACAGAAAATATACAAATTAAATTTCAATGCATGCAAAAATCGATAAATATAATCAGTAGGATTAACACTCAAAAAACAAAGTTAATATCTGAACATATAAGTATATACAGATATTACTAATGAATCTACAATCAAAAACAGAAAGTAGATTGGGAATGTGAGATAATTTATAGTATTTGATACAGTAATTAAAAGTATGGATTGATTGAAGAGATGAATAAACGAGTCTAAGTGGACAGAAACATATGCTGAATTTAAAATAATTATTAGCGATGAAATGAGCCATATATAGTGTAATATATAAAAGGTTAAGATTTAGATGGTGGTGTCGGGATCAAGCAAATTTAACCGCGATCTCAGTTTAATTTTAAAATGGTACAATTCAGTGATAACCCTAATATCTGGGGGTACAAATAATTGCCAGATCTTAGGGCCCAAAATTTTAAGACTAGTTGCAACGAGCTTAAGGCGGGTTTTTGATGGATAAATAACAGACGCGTGTCTTGTGTTCAATATTTGGACGGAATTACTATAAATATAAAAGTTAGAAAAGGAGGGAGGGAGTAAGTTGTTCAGAAATTTAAAAACAAAAATAGCCGTGAAGTAGATGTAAAGGCAAGGTAGTGACAAGATATTGTGCTCGACGAAAAAGGATCTCGTGTGAGAATAAGGTTTAAGATTAAATATTAGACGGATGGCTCTTTTCTGAGAAACATGCAGACAGTTAAGATGACTTTTAGGACTGTGACCCCAAAGAAGTATACAGTAAGTTAGATAGGGGTAGATGAAGGCATTGTAAAGAGTTTTTAGAGAAGAACGAGATAGCTTGTTTTTTATGTTGTAGAAAATTCCTATGAGTTTGTTAATCTTTAAAGATATAGATTGGAGATGAAGATCCCATGAAAGATTATCAGAAATAGTCACACCCAAGAACTTGGTTGAGAGAACACGATTTATTTTAATATTATTCAGCGTTAGGTTTAAGTTATTGGATTGGTTTGTTAAGATTTTGGGTCCAAAGATTATGTAAGAACATTTAGAATGATTGACAGTAAGTTTGTTAGAAGAAAACCAGTTTGAAAGTTCTGAAAGGACCGAATTTATATGATCTGAACATGAAATGTCGTCGGGAGTAAATAGGAGATTCGTGTCGTCGGCAAATAGTATACATTTAGTTCCAATAGATATATTATGAATGTCGTTTATGTAGATTAGGAATAGAAGTGGGCCGAGGATTGATCCCTGAGGTACACCAATGGAAGTTAAGGCCTTTGAAGATTGGTAATTGTCAATAGTGACGTATTGATTCCGATGTGAGAGATAACTTTGAATCCACCCGAGAGCTTCTCCTCGAATACCATAACAACTTAATTTATCAAGTAAGATGCTGTGATTAATAACGTCAAATGCTTTCGAAAGGTCTAAAAACAAACCAACTGAGAGTTTTTTGTCATTGAGTTTGGAGAGGATGTGATGGACATAATCGAGTAGAGCAAGTTCCGTTGAGTGGCTAGGGCGAAAACCATATTGGTTGTTGCAAATAATTTTATGTACTTCAAAGAAAGAAAATAGTCTGACATAAACTGCTTTTTCTAGTAATTTTGACAACGGAGACAGTAGAGAAATCGGCCTGTAGTTATTAATGTCGGCATTATCTCCTTTTTTAAATATGGGA